TGTGTGTACATGTGCGCTGCTGTAAATGTGTACAAACTGTTCAGCTGCATGTGGGGACATGACTGTGTGTGCGTGTGTGTTTGTGTGTGACAGTGTCTCAGCGCTGCTGACGTTGAGTTTGTTTCTCCGGACTCCACTAAATGTTCCTTAGCTGCCTGTGTAAAGTGAGCACACACACACAAACAAACACACACAACCTGGCCTTCCTTGAGTTAGGGCACATGCCTGTGGCCTGTGTAAGTCTGTGGTTGGTGTAATGATGACAGGCTCACACACATACTCACAGATTCCAGGACCCCCACAAACATGACTTGGCTGAGCCTGCATGGTATATTGTGCTGCTGACAATGCTACCATTATTCTTAATTACTCTCAAGAATGGACGCTAAATTATTTAAATGGAGTGTGTCTCTCTGAAAGTCTGGCTGCCTCTTGGTCAATGTGCCTATCCTCAGCAGTGGTGGAACAAATACCCAGATCCTTTACTTCAGCAAAAATGGCAGCACCACAAAGTTACTATACCCTAATCATAGAAAATGTGAGTAGTGTAGTTAGTAGGTAGGATTATAAACACTGTTCTCGTTATGCTGGGAAAGTGGCTTCTGGCTCTGTTATACTATCTTACTATTATTAATTTCCATCAAAATGAGAGCTTTCTTGTGTTTTCTGATGTTTTTTTAAATACATAAAAAACTGTTTTCCAAAAGGTTGAGGTAAATCTAAATTAAAATTAAAGTAAATAACTAGAGCGAGCCACACAAATACCTTAGTGCAAGATTTGAGCCCATGGTTTTGTTTTTCCACCACTAATCTTCAATGACAGCCAGAGTAAACCTCACCTTGTCTTCTTTGGACAAACTTCAAGCTAATGTCTGTGGATGTAAACAGATGAAGAGGTTATCTGGCTCGGTCAGATATCAAGAGTGTCTTGTGCGTCTTTTGATCTGACAAGAGAATCAAACAAAAAGTATAGTAATTTCCTCACCATCTTCTAATCTAAACATGTCTAATTACAGGTACCAAGGTGTATTTGAGTGGATTCATAGCCTACATATTAGAGCACATCTATTGCGCAACAGCCAGGAAATGGGGTGTGCTGTGCAATTGGAGAGACTGAGAACTTTTTTTGTTGTTGTTGCATCACAGAAAAAGTGCTGTGGTGCACCTCATTTCATGAAGCCTTGTGTAGATTGAGTAAGATGAAATAATTAAAGGCTTTAACTTGGATAGCCAGCTATCTGCTCTGCTGCACATGAAGGCAGGAGCATCATAATTAGAAACTAGCCAACACCAAAGGTGTAGGTGGCAAACACATTCGTCAGGACACAGATACTTAGTTATTACCTCTTTGTAGGCATCATTTGATATGGTGGGTTGCCTTCATCTGATGATATAGCCTTGATTGACCATTCTCTGCTTTCACAGCAGGACCTGACGTGTTGAGGCTCCAGTAGTAACTCATTACAGTTGTATGTTTGTTGTAAGTCTTTTTGGGTCTGTGTATTTCTTCCTGTAACAACTGTGTTTAGTGATTCTGGGCCAGGTTAAGCACCGCAGACATCCTTCAAACAACTTTTGCTTTTCAGAAGGGGACAGTTGTTACTTTTCTGTGTACCAGCTACTATATGAAGACTAAATCATTTATTTTTTCACTTTTGCAAGAAACCTCTACAAATCCTACATAAAGCCTCCCCCCCCCCTTTTTTTTACTGCAGTAGATTCAAATATAAAAAAGAGGAGTATAAAGACTGCGTTAAGATTATCACGTGACATTTAATAAAACAAATATATTCAAATTTTCAATAGATAACATTTCTTATAAAACTTTATATATAACACATTTACAATACATGCAGCACCATGTCTTTATAATACTGGTGTTGACAGAATGTAATAGCTCATTTAAGTGCCACATCCAGGGAAATATGTACAATACAGTAATTTACTGCAATAACCGTGGCATGAAGTTCCATAAAAAGAGAAACAAAACAGTTCTGCCATTACCAATGACATGCATTGATCTTCCTAATACTTCTGAAATGTCACTTCCTAACTTCCGACTCCTCATCTGCTGAAAGGGAATTGATTCAGTCCATCTTGCACTCTTGTATCCCTCTGGGTGTATCACTTTTCCAGGAATCATGTCTACCCTTTCGGCTGATGTGTTTGTGTCAACAACTTTGGCAGGAAAGAAAGTCTTAGGTGTCTGTGTGCATGTGTGTGTGCGTGTGTGTCAGCATCTCTTGTGTATGCAAGTGTTTGTCAGTGTCTGTGACTGAGTTGTGGGTTTTGCTGGGCGTGTGAATGTGCAGGTTTCTCTTTCTGTGTGCGTCCACTCGTTCATGTCAGCGTCTCTGACAGGTGTGTAGGTTCCGGGCTGCAGTCCTGCTGACAGTGTGATCTCGCTCTCCTTTCTCTGGTCGGCAGGCCAGCCCTTCGCCGCAGTCACAACGCTGGAACAGCTCCAAGCCATGGTTGCCTTTCCTGCGGTGGCGCGTACACACCTGGCCCTCTGTCAGAACAGGCTTACAAATGCGAGACCAGAAGTGTCTGGCACAGCAAAGACCCTCGGAGCAGTCTGCAGATCTCAGGCAGGCATCCCCCTCTTGGCCTGAAGATGAGGGGGGGAGAGAACAAAGTGAAAATATGTTACATGGAACAGACCTCCCTGAAAACTTCCTACTGCTGCTACTTGAACCCAACAGATAAGACCAGTGATTTTTAACAGCACACTTACCTTTGACAGCATGAGGCTGGTTGCTATGGGCAGTGGGAGGCTTCTTGGCTCGATGCTCCATGGTACTGTTGTGTGTGTGCCAGCCAGTTGTGAGGGCTACATCTGCGACATCTAAGTCATTTGCCTGGCAAACACCTGAAAAGGTAAAAGAGGAAAATAAACAACTGCATTAAGGGTTTGCAATTAACACTACAGAAAAAAGCCCTTAGTTAATTAAGATATAAATAATAAGTAAAAAGTGAAATTAAAAACAAAAATACAGATACAAGATGACTAAAAGAAAACCAAAAGTCATTACTGATTTGAAATGAGCTCACCGTTGCTGCAGCGGTTTCCTGCACAGCACATCGAGTCCCTTGCGCAACGCTTTCGGTTCTTACGGCAGGGTAGGCAGACGCCTCGAGCATCGTTGCAGAATTCCTCACCTCCGCACTCTTCATCATCCGTGCAAACATTTGAGGTCTATATTTGATTAAAAACAAAAGTATTATTTCAGGAAGTATATTGCTATGATTTCTGTGACAACGTATATAAGCGAATCACTATTGTGTTGCACAGACTTGACTTTTACGCACGGCTGAGTTAATTACCTGCAAGGTGTCTGCGGGTAATTTGTGTCCCATGCTACCAGAAGGTGATGTTCGAGGACTCGGACTGACACTATCGGTATCTTTAACAATCGGGGCGCCGGGCAGGTTTTTGATCGCGTTGGAGTTCGTCAGGACTGTGCCCGCGTAAACGTCCCCAAGGTATCCAAACAGCGTGAGATACACAGCCAAGAAGCCGCGGACTGAAGGCATCTTCATGATTCCTTTCTTAAATTCTCCGGCAAACACACGATAAGAATGTTCCTTTTGTTTTGAGAAGAAGAGTGACAAAGTCCAAAACGGCCTTGAATCCAGAATCCTAAAGTTTCCAGAGAGTTTCGGAACGATGTTTGGAGGTCTCCTGACTCGCAGTCCTGGGGTGATCTCTCTTTATACATGTGGACCTGTTTGTCTTCCCGCCCCTCGCTGTGCACTACAAAGGCGGAGGGGTGGAATTTCAAACAGAGACCCACTGTACGGAAATGGCCATCTCTGCTCCCTGCACAGGACAACGTTTCAGTGTTTGTGATGATAATGACCTGCAAAGTCTGTCTGAATACCCATCACACAGTGTCGTACACGGGAAATAACCCCACCACCACCAGTCAGTACTTACTCTATCCAGTCAGTATAAAATAAATAAATAAAAACATAAAAAATACAGATGACAAATAATGTTTTCTTTAATATTTTTTCGATGTGTTTTAAAAATATTACTCATAAATTCATCACTCTTTGTTTAAACAATCACTCAACAACATTTGACAAAATAAAAAAATATATTTTAAACACATAAATCACACATCGGGAAGAGTTTTTTTCTCCATTTTATTGATCACTTATTTTAATTTTCGCAATTACTGTGAAGTTATCAAAATAGGCGGGTAGTATATTTTTCAAACTATTATAGGTATACTTTTAGAAAATAAAAACAATGACGTTTTTCTGAATGTGTAGCACATTTGATTTGCTGACTGATTTTGATTTATATGTCTGATAGGCCTGTATTTCTGTTGACAACTTACCTGCGCATCTTTGTAGAAGCCGTTTGCTTATTCCAGTTTCTATGACATCCTTTGGCTGCCCTTTGGCTGTGTGAATACAGCGATTGAAGTTACTTAAGTCGATTAACTACTTCATTTGATCCCTCTGATTGCAAAGGGGGCAATTATCCCCCAACGTGTGCTTGATTACACCAGTTGCGGACATCAATGTGTAGGATATGCAGACCATTAAGGGGTGTGAAAACTTTGCCGAATTAATGGACTTCCGTGGAGAGGCCTTTCAGGGTTGACTGGCACTTTGAGATTAAAGGGGACTCTGATCTACCCTGCTCTTTGACCTTTAGGCTCCACCACTTCTAGAAGGAGAAATGTATTTGAGAATATTCAAATTAAGTCTCAATGTTGTTTTTCCACGTGAATCTGCTGATAACCCCACGTCGCAGTAGACTTGTCTCCGTGTTTGTCCTTAAGTTGTTATCTCTCGTCCCTTTCCTGAGAGACGTGAGCTCTTATGATTTATTTATTCACCTTAAACCTTTAGTGACACTGATTTCAAAACTTTTTGCACTCTGTGTGTGAACAGTCAGTTTTCGCTGTGCAAGAAGAGCTCCCTTCAGATGCTGAAGTGCGTGATAAAAAACAAGAACTTAAGTTTCTCCTTGTAGATATGTTAGCACTTGGACGTCATCTGCTGGTCACGGAGCCTTTATCCGAAGTTTGAGTGTGAGAACGTGTCTGCGTATGTAGAAGAATAAGCGATGCGCCATAGACACCTGACAAACACACTAGCACTTTGCGCATTTGAATTGCTGCATATCTTTTGAAGTAGAGCTTTTATCTCCACTTTACTGAATGTCAGTACTGGTAAGGTGAGCTCCTTTGATGCACTTTGATCCCCTTTGATCTCACAGAAGTGTCACCCTGTTGTTATGGCTGAAGCCATTTCCCTGTGCCCCAAACAGATTTGTTGTGCGAACAACACGGAGGCCAGAAAAGCTGAATCATCCGCACTTACCACTAAGTGGATGACATTAAACTCTTGGAGTGATTATTAGATATCTGGGAACTTTAAGCGGTTCACATGAGGCTGAGGCACTTGCGTGAAGGGACGTTTTAGTCTTACCATTAGCTCCCCCTTGTGGCAACTACAGCGAACTCTGCACAGCACAAGTTTGAAAGAACACAGCACACACGACTCAAAAGTATTGTTTTTACTCTATAATTTTAAAAATCGTACACGTGGCACTCTGCAAAATAACTTACAGCAGAAAAATAACAACACAAGGCAAATATCAGGTAACTTTGCAGAAGGCAGTCAATAAAAACTGAAAACCAGTGGTTTGGTAAGATATGACATACATAAGGCTTTGTGAAAACATACCGCCCCACCCTCCCCCGACACAGTAAAACACTTATGGTTTAGAATTAAGATTTCTTCTTGTGTTTAGTTCTCCATCAATAGATTCATATAATATGTATGTTTGGCTTCCTGGGGTGAATGCACATAGGAGAATTTTGCCTTCAGAACTTTCTGCCTAGAAAGGCTTTGCAATACATGTTTAATATCATCAAAAGGATGAATTTTAACTGTTTCTTCAAGCTTTGCCACATAGATTTGCTGCCTAGACACAAGCAAACAATGACCGTAAACTACAACGGATAAGAAAGCTTTTGAAAGGCAAACTTCTCCTGCTAGTGGGGTGAAATGTGACTTGAGCTTTTGAGCCAAACAGTGAAAAGAGAATTTGAATCGTGATGAGATATGATTAATGCTGACATTCTGTCAAAGACTGTCAACAGTGATAAAAATATTTCCATATTTGTATTGGCAAAATATTCATAACTGCAAATCATTCTTGCCGTCTCTAAAAGCTCAAATTTACTGACTGAAACAAGTGATGGATGGTCTTTCTGAGCCATGGTTAATGCTCACTGGTGTTTTGTATCAGGCCAGTAGTGATTGACTTCAAAGGATCACATTAGATATGTGGAGAAAAGCATGTCATTGCAGCTATATCAGGTAGGATAGCTTTTAATCATTTTAAATGTTCCCGTGACATAAATCAAAGGCGTAAGCAGGAAATTTATTTCATATATTTTGTCAGCCATCAAATGACTAGAAATTCTTTGTGGTGATTAATGTATTTATTAGATATAAGAAAGGATGAAAAGCAGCCATCTAAGAGGACACATACGTTTTTGAGGTGTATATGTGTTCATGCAGCATCGAAAAGGTCTTGTGATGTAAATTTTGTATGCCATTGACTTAAGGCACTTACATTCCTTTTGACTTCATGTTCTGATTTTTGGACGCAAGAGGTGACGAGCTGGGCGAGAGATCATGGTGATCAAAGTTGAGATTTCACAAAATATAACCTTATTTATTTAGCTTCTTTTTGCCTCTAGGAGACACGTCAAGATTCCCACACGATTATGTTAAGTCAAGATAGTCTTATGATAATGCAAATGTGGTAAATCTGAGTTCCAAATAAACAGAAGGATGATTTTTTTTTCATGGCTGAACTCAAACTGGTGAAACCTGTTTAAAAACCTCGACAATACCACAAGTGATAAATCATCGATCAAGTTCACAAATTTATACAAGTCTCCAATTTTCTCTAAAGAATGCTGTCAAGTACGTTACAAAGTAATCAAGCACAAAAGAAATCACAATACAAAAACAAAGAACCAGTACTGTCATCTCAACATCGCTTATTATAATTTATCAACAGCACCAAAGACATCAAAACCATGTTCACAGTTATGTCAGTACTATACAGGAGAGGACATCCGGTTTGGGTGGATTCAAGAAGTGACTGAAAAACAAACTGAAGATGGATGTAGGCAGAGAAGCATTCGTATGCATGATTTTTTTTAAAGCCTATTATAGAACAGAAAAGTGTGACCTCGACTTAAGCTTAAAATGAGCTATAACTGTGGATTTTCTCAGTTAATGGTCTTAAGTGCATAAGGACACATTGCTTCATGGAAATACTAGCTGACATTTCACGTGTGCCGGTGTGTGATTCATTAAAATTTTAAGGAGGGCACTTTAAGAGTCACATCTCTTTCCACTGAATGCACTGTGTTTGTGCTTTTCAAGGTAGATTAATCTCACATAAATTGTACTAAGTATTTGATTTCAGCCCGGTAACGTTCATGTGTGACAATAGATCTCGTAAATTCAAATACTATGTACCATTCATATTGTGTTTTTTCAATAAGAAGAAAAATCTGTGACATTCAGATTAGTCGTGAGCACTTGGTACCAGTTGCACTTGCCATCTGTAGTGTGTAGATGTCTACAAAGCATTACAGATTGCAGAAAGCAGCTGCATGTTGATAACCAGGGACCAACTGCAGTATCATCATATCCCCTCCCAGAGTCCACCAAATATTTCACTAACTATAGCGGAAAAATGAATCTATAAAAAAAGAAAAACCAATAACCATCCCCTTCCTCTTTTGAGCGGTTGTCAACATATAGTTCCTTTTTCTAGTTGTCGAAGCAAAACTTCGACAAACTTTAAAACATTCATCCATCCACTAAGCATCTCTTCATGATACATGGGAAAACCTGGCTCCGTTATCAGCCTCTGTTGTATTTGTGTGTGTATGTGTGTGTTTGTATCCCTGCACTTTCTTTGCCTTTTAGACCCAAGTGTAAAACAACACCGGAGAAGTGCTACAGCAGTCCCATTATAAATGCTTGATCCAGAGCCACAGTGAAATAAAGGCATATCGGTGACCCAGAGGGTTTGCCATCCAACTATTAATCTTCTTTTCCATATCTTCTCTTTCATTTTTAATGCAGTTTTGTTTTTTACAACACAGCCATGTCCTCCATTAATGACCTCCAAACCATTAAAAGCCAACAAAAGAAGAGTTTCTTCTGGTTTCAAGAGAAGAGGAGGACTTCAAAAATCAACGTCCCAGCCGGAGTTGTCATCAGGAGGTGGGTCTTCATTGTCCTCTGGGAAGCTGTCAAAATTACTTGTGTCAACTGCTGATGTGACCTGGTAGAAACACAAAATAATCTTTCACATAAAGAATAAGCAACAACTGAGTGGCTATAAAACAAAACAAAACGGGCACAGCGTGCACTTACATTAGGGATAATAGGTGGTGTCAGTGTCCCCTTCTTCAAACCTTCCCAGTTAAAGCCCTCAAACCATCTAAAAGAAAAAATAGCATTACTTCATCATTGTGCAGCGAGCAAATTAATACAAATGTCTGGACTGAGTAATGCGTTTTCTCACTTGTGCTTTTGGATGTCTTTGACACCGTTTTTCAAGTTTCCCAGTCTTTCAGAAGGATTATCCCTGAAGTAGAAAAAATAATGTATGATTCAGCACGCAGACCACTTAAATGAATTACTATGTATAAATGTCTACAGGCACAAACACTTACCTGCATAGCTTTTTGATTAGGTTGGCAGCATTTTTGGTAATTTTCTTTGGAAACTCAATCATGTCGATTCCTCTCAAGATGATGTTGTAGGTTTTCATAGGATCAGGGCCAGAGAATGGAGGACTACACAACAGAGGCCAACATATTACTTTGAAGTAAAACGTGCTTAAGTGTGGACAATTATGTAATCAGCTACCATCAAACTGTTCTGTATAAATTGTGCAATGAGCTGACACATTTTAATTTTCACCAGGTGACTCAACATTTCCAAAAAGTTTTGCACGTATTACCGCAAAAACTTCATAAACAAGTTTGTTAAGGACAAGCCCGGGCCTGTGAGTACCTGCCAGTTAAGAGCTCAAACATAAGGATTCCTAGAGACCAGTAGTCAGCTGAGATGTCGTGGCCCTTGTTCAGAATGATCTCTGGTGCTACATACTCTGGTGTCCCACAGAAGGTCCACGTTTTCTTCCCAAACCCAATCTTCTTGGCAAAGCCAAAGTCCACCTAAAGAAAACAACGGTTTTGTTGTCAGATTGTAATAATCAGGCAAAGAAAAATTTGACTTAAAATCCTTCTCGTGGTATTTTGGTTCCTATCAGATCATGTTCACTCTTATGCATACTAATGGTGGAATGAAAATGGTGGAAATAGTGGCATTGGTGGGTTTGGAGCTGAGTTGAGTAGCTGCTGGCTGCTCTGCCAAAAGAGACAAGCTGGTTTCTCCACGATGAGAAAAGGGAATGTTGGTGTACCTCAAAAAACAAAACCTAGCATAGCCTTAGTTATACTTCTCTTCACACTGTGATTACTCTTGTATTTAAAGCCATTGTGTGGCAGTATTCAAAATGATTTTTGACATTTCACATACATCAGAGAAAGATGGCATTTGTCTTTTCTTGCATCATCTCTCAAAAACACACAAACATCCAAGTTAGAGGTTTCTGTGTTTCCATGTTGATCTCTTACCAGTTTGGCATAACCCCTGTGGTCCAATATAAGGTTCTCTGGTTTAAGGTCTCTGTAGATAATGCCTTTGGAATGCAGGTAAGCAAAAGCCTCAACTACACAGGCTGTGTAAAACCTGGTGGTCGAGTCCTCAAATGAACCCCTGTAAACACAGCAGGACAAAAGAAGATGAAAATTGTAACTTACATCAAATAGTAAAATGTGATACACTTCCTATAATGTAGCTATAAAATCACTAGATATGTTGGTCAAAGCGGGACTCAAATATCATTTTACCAGAATTAACTTAACTGCCACACCTTTCTTTGCCATATAATTGTGTGTGTGTGTGACATTAATCCTTTATGAGTTTACCGATCTCTAAGAATGGTCCACAGTTCTCCGCCTAAACATGCTTCCATCAACATGTAGAGGTATTTGCTGTCCTTGAAGGTTCTGTACAGTCTGAAAACACACAGAAGTGTTTGTTATGACAAACTGCTGTAAAATTCATAACCACACAATTATTATTTGGCAGAAAAAAAAAGCAATGAATTCATCTTCTTAACCAAAAATCCTATAATCTATTTTGAACACATGATAATACTGAAATAAAGCAGTCTGTTGTTGGCCAGGGATTTCCTTTGATATAATTCAGTATTTAAACCGTTTGTTAAAATATACATAAATAATTTTAGTAAACCACAATAAACGGTGAACAGCAAAACACTCCCACAGTGTTTAATTGGATTCAAGTGAGGGGACAAACCTCTCCAAACAAAGTGTTTTTTAAATTGTCATGTTGCTAAACGTCTCTCGGGCCACGCATCTCAAGCCTGTGAGTTATCTTGTCATTCAGTATTCCAGCACACAAATTAGCATTCGTCTCTATTAAAACCTTCCTGAACTGTTTGTATCGCCTTATCAGCGCTCTCCCACCTTCATGTTTTATAGCCAGTACCAGGGTGCTCCTGGCCACAAGCACACCAATGAAGCTGGACCGAAATTGGCATAAATAAATGTATTTCATCCAACTAAAGATTGCCCTGCCAGTGTTTGTCATGCTCCTTTTCATGTTTTAACTGTGCAGTCTTGTGCCACATCATCAGAAAAATGACTTCTGAAACACTTCCACAGATAGTCTCTGTGCCAAGTCAGAAGTACTTAATAGAAAGCAAATTGTGCGTGCCCTCATTATTCAAGGGTGACTATTGAACCATCTGTTATTGGTAGCACAGTTTCCCTAAATCTCCTAACTACTGCTGCAGCTGTGTTTTGTTAGCCTGCTGATGCTTGTATCACCCATCTTTATTCTTGTTCAGGCAGTTCTTTATTATTGTTAAGCCACGCCATATTACATACAAACCAAGCCAAAATGAGAAAGCCGCGATGATGACAGGCTCTTTTTGTGGCCACGTTCATTAAATAAGTCTTAATAGGGAATGTCATGTTTAATAACTCTTACTTTGATCACCAGAATTAAACATTTAGTAAGATAAGCAAACTTTATTGAGCATTTGAAGGAAGCTAATGTTAAGAAGCTACCTAACAATGAAGTCCGAGTGGGCCTCTTGCATGATGAGCTTTTCTGAGCGAATGTGCTCTTGCTGTCTCGTGTCGACGATGTGCCGCTTCTTGAGGATTTTCATGGCAAATGTTTTGTTCTCATCACTCTTGAGCTGAACCTGCAGTGATAGGGAAAGAGAGAGATTCAAATAGCAACGTGTGCAGCTTGTCAGACAAGTCCAGAATACTGATGTTAATGTCACACTGCAGCGCTTCATACCAGCTCAACGCGTCCAAAGCCACCAACCCCCAGAGTGTCGATGATGTTAAAGTCAGCTAGGTTTAGATTGAAGAAAAACGCATTCTCTGCTTCATACCTGTGGGGCCAGGAAAAAGGGGAGGAAAGAATGAAGGGGAACAGGATTAGAGATGAGATGAAGGATGAAAGAAAACATAATCCACTTTCAACAACCTGAGACAAAATATCCGTCTCTCCTTGAGCTCATTTGTTTGCAAATCTTAGAGGATTTAACTCATAGTAATCTATCAAGGATGTTGTTGAGGATGTGGAGTATAAATATGAGCACATGAACAGGATGTTTTTGAGTTTAGTCTTCTGGCAAATTACTTTGACCTCTCTTTGATCACAGACTAACTGTCCCCAGCGTGTCCCCATTCTTTATAGGAAAGAACAAAGATGGGACATCCGTGACACAGGCTACTCACTACTCAGTTGGCTCAGAAGACATGCCTTGGCTCTGCCACTGAACTCCACAACATGCCAGCATGCTGGCAGTAGAGATTGTTTCCACGTGTCCACCCCTTATCCCCAGATGCCCCGTGTCTTCTTTGGTTATTGTTTGATCCAGACAGAGTTTCATCAGCTCAGTTTCTGGATCAGTGGGCTTAGGACAGATCCAAGCCTGGATAGGCCTTTCTGGGTCACTCATAACAGACTAGCGCCTCGACGTCAGGCCTCTTCTCTCTAAAAAATATTTCAGCTGTATGTTTATGTAGACAGCGTCTTATCAAAAAACACCTCCACAGAAGACGTGTTTAGATAAGTCAGCAGCCTTCTTTCACAGAGCTGCAGGGATTAAGATTATTTACAAAAATGTAGGTTAAACACTTTCAGAAAAAACTGTTCCAGGTTTGAATGCAATCAGTAAAATGTCAAATTATGTTTGCTTTATGCCATTCTAGCTTATCTGGCTATTCCAAGTGTTAAAAAACCAACCTAACTGTACTTGTTTCAGATCAGTTACACTGGAAACCTTTTCCCTAAGCTACGCAGCAGTGGACACTTTGGTGGCACGTGTTGGCAGGTTACTGAGCACGATGTTTCTCAGAAACACATCAGGTTACCAGGACACTCATGGTTTATTTGTGTATATGTATACACTATCACTATCATGGGAGATTTGCAGGTTATCCTTTCATCTTTTCTCCCCGACCCTGACCTGGATGCAGGCCCAGAAAACACTCCAAATCCTAAAATAAGTGCTGCTTAAGAAAAGGAGACAAGTAACCAAGATTACATGTTTAGTGTGTGTGGTGCAGTATTGTTAACCCTTTAAAGCCTGAAATAGAAAATAATTGCAGGAAAATTACAAATTTTTCAAAATTAAAGAGTTTATTGAACCATCTGACAAATTTGTTTGAAAAATTATTACATTTTAATTTCAGCATATGAATTTTAATTTGTATTGTAGTTGCTTTTTTATCTGGCTTTTTGAAAAATTGCTTAAAAATGTACAATTTATTTAGGTTTTTCAGGTGGGGGGGATCACTCTGATGATATAGACATCTCAAAAACCCACAAAAAACTGCACGCATCAAATATGACAAACTAGGATGTGTCTGGGTGCAGTTAATTAAATTAAGGAGTGTTTTGCAAATTCTGTCAAGATATAGAAGAAATGAGAGTAAGGATATAATTTTACACTTTAGAATTTTACACTTGCTAAAACGGTTGACTAGTAATAGAAACATACAACCAGCAGATGGCAGTGTTGCTTCATTATAAGGAGTCAGTATCAAAGCGCTGACGAACAAAAACTGTGCTATTCACAGCCGAAGCACAAAACGAGCCCCTTTTCTATTAGATAAGCAATGAAAGAATAAATGTCTCTTCTATTATCTACAGATGATGAACATTTCTTCAAGCGGGTAACAATACAAAACCATTAAGCTACTTTGCAATGTAATGAATAATTTTGTCACAGGCAAAACACAATGTCTCAATCAAGGACACACAGTCTCTGTAGGAATCAATGAATGGTGGAGATATTCACTAAAGCAGCGACACACAATACAGTTTTTTCAGATAAGCAGAAAACTACACTCGTCTGTCGCTATAACTGAGCCATGATATGCCGGAAACTGGAATATGATACCAGAGAGAAGATCCAGTGAGACTGAAACCATACATCCACCTTAAATAGATGTCTAAACCCTGACCTTGAATAAAAGTGAACACAGAGAGCTTAGCAGCATCTGACACAGTTTCCTGGACAGCATATGCATTATGAGGTTGCAATAAGATGTTACTTATAACTGCTAACATGAAAATCCATTACAAGCTCAGCATTACAAAGTGTTCCTATGCAGGTCAAGTAGCACCCCAGTGGGTGATAATCTGTATCACTGAACGAATGAGGTCATAAAAATGATGCAATCCCCGTGTGTCTAAAGTGTGTGTCAGTATTTGTGTGGGAGTGTGTGTACGATTATCCTCATTTACTTTGCCCTAGTTCTTCTTCATCAGACTGACTCAGGGGAGCAGAAAGAGAAGAAGAAAGCACTTCTGACCTTAAACCAGACTTAAATGTCACTTTTATTTATGGGTGATTCCTGTTTATTGAATATCTACACTCCCAAAAGACACAGGACCCACTGAGTCATAGTGGGTCATATTTTCTCATAGATTTTTAGTTATTCAGGGTTTTTTCACCAGAAGGGCCCAAATTGCTGATTAAAGGTAAGTGAAAATAGCTGCTTGAAAGGGCAATTAGAACATTTTAATCGCAAAGAGTGGGGAATAAAACTGGTGCATTTAAATGACGAATATAATTTTAACGACAAGAAGCAGAAGATTATTTTTAGATGATTTTATTCCTTTAAAAATAAAGGGTAAACATAAAGCTTCGGGATATACAGGCAACATAATTTCAGATTTCTCTATAAGACATTTTCTGTTAAGTCTGCATCGCTGGAGAAAATCAGCTTTTTTCTTTTACTTTGTCTTATCTTTAAATTCTCCCCTCACCTCAGAATACATAAAAGTTTTTATGAATGCAGTAGCAGTGTGCAGAATGTAGCATCTCCTTGTCAGAGAAACAAGGCCTTGATCAAAAACAATGTGTGCATATACAGTAGCATGTGAGAGGGAGCTAGTATTTGAAGAAAAGACCTGTCAGCCCCGCAGAGAGCAGCTATAATTTCCTGTACAGCAACAGCACTACTGAAATATGCTTATCCACTGTGACCAATTAGAGACAGTTTCCATCTCAGAGGGATCCTGACTCAGGCTTTCCTCAACAAGAAGCAAACGTGCTCTGCTGAGTGGGGAGTGCCAGCAAGAGACAACACAGCACGCAGCAGGGAAAGCTGCCCTAATCAGGGTGATGAGACAGATTTGAGAGAGCAGAGAAGGTGAGTGGGTCTAATTTGAGTTAAAGTTCTGGCTCGATGATAAAGTTATAAACATTTGTCATGCAAAAGTACAACTTGTTACTCCTTTGCATAAAATCTAACTTGCTTAAGGAATCTTTTAAGCTGTCTGCAAGTCGCACTGTGTGACATAGACCTAATTAACTCGGGTACCTTATCTAGGTGATAGAATGATAATGTAGAACACTGTAATTCTCTCCTATCTTTTTATTTTGCCACACAAGATGCTGTACCCTTCATGGTGGGTCATTGTAAAGGCTTCGATCGTAAAACCAAGGCTTCTGCTAATACAACACAACAATATTTTGTTGATCATCATTTCATGCTGACAGCCACTGGATATTATGTTATCATATTATCATAGATCTACTGGCAGGCCAAACAATCATCAGTGGAGCCATAAAGTAGATCTGGCCAGGGCCGAAAGCCAGAGGTAGGGCACTATACGCCCCCTGTTATACCCATCGGTTTCTTGTTGCCTCTTTCCAACCCTGGTGGTATGTTTTGCTCTTGACTGCTCTGCTGACAACATGCCACTGACTTGCAAAAGATCACTGGCACTCTCAGCTAGAAATCCACAGCACCGGGCAGACGTCTAGTCTGTTTTGTCACCCTCTTGTTCTCTCTGTCTCTCTAAATCTATCTACATATGGGATAAGCTGTTCCTGCTCTCTGGCTCCCTGTAAACTGTCATTACTGGGTTCTTGTTTCTACTCACCTTGACTCTCAACATAGCGCTGAATCAGTGGGGTATCAGATTATGCCAAGAGATGGCTAAAAGAACCTCTAGATTCCCACCTCAATGCCAAAGTGCCTTCTATAGAGCCATTCTCTTATTCCCATAGTGAAGATAAAGTACATATTAATTCCTCCAGAAATAGAGGTGAAGGTTATAGCGCATGCTTTCTGTTTCCCCACAGAGTGTTGCATTATTATATAACAGAAGTAACGGCATGAAGCATTAACAGCTGGCCAGCATGTCTCTTTGCAAAACACTGCAGGCGCTAGGCAGTCACATTGAGTATAAATGATTTTTTCTTTGTCTTACTTGGCTTTGGCATCAGCATCCTCATGGCCTTTGCTGGATACATCCTCCAAACTCCCAATCAGGTGCTTGAATGAACTGAAACACAGACAGTAACAGTTAAAACAGCACCTGGTGAAGAATTTTTGACACTGTTTTGCTTGAAAATCTACAGACAATGCAGGTCTAAGTAACAGAGCATAAATGTAAGGAACAAAGATACATATATTCTGATTCGTTCTATGAGAATATATGAATCTGTTACTGTTAGCTTATGTTACAGGGAACAAAGCACCTTATATCTGTATAAGAAGCTGGCACACAGTATGACCAATCTGCCATACACACTCCCAGTTAGTATTAAATATTCATCAGTCTGCTTTTAGAGACAAGCCTCTAAAAATCGCAGACGAGGAGACAGATGAGAAGACACATCTACCCCAAAGAGGTGTAAAACAGTGTGATAGCAGATGGTGGGTGAGAGAGATTTTTGAGACAAAAGTAGACGCTTTGCATGAATATTTAGAGAATAAATTAAAAATTTAAAATGCACTGTGTTGAGTGATAAAGAAATCATTTGATATTATGCAAGGTAAAACTCCTCCCATGACAATATTTTATATCTTTTTCAGTACTAAATAAATCCGTTATGTGATTTAGGTGATAGAAGCAGAGTAACAACATATTTTTATTCCTCTGTATTTCTAATTATGATAAGAAGAAAAGTGCAAATTCTGAAAGTTAAAGAATAAGTTAGAGCATATTAGATGGATCTACAGAACAATAAGCTTCACAGCATAATAACTTGCTGAAATAAAATCCTCCAAATTTCTTGAGAGGTTTGGTACATGAAAAATAACTCCCGTATTTCGCCTCATTTCTCCCTGAAGTATGGGTTTCTATGCAAAATAACGATTCCAAACATCCTGGAAGAACAACTAGCTGACACTTTTCAAGCAGGGCTCATCAAGCTGTCAGCTAGAAGATGCACTGCATCTGGTGTTTTCTCCTGTTGAGACCATAATGCCTGCTAGCTAGGGCTGTTTCTGAGCTGAGCTTTTCTCTAAATTTTTTGCTGCTTACAGTGTCTATTGGACTGAGCCAGTAAATCCCTGCTGCTTCTTTTTTTATTCTCTCTCGCTTTCCCACGGCTCCTGTAATTATCCTTATTTTACCTCTTAGCGTGTACACTGTTTGATTTCTAAGCGCCACACATGCACGGCTGTCAAGAAAATAAACAGAAGGGCACAGAATACCAAAAGATTCAAAAACAAATATTCTGCACCAAAACTAGCCTGATTGAGGGACACAAACGCACACACTGAACCACTTTTGTGGGCCGTGGCAGCATTAGCTGCTTGCATGAAAGGCAGCAGTAATCACCTGCACTGGATGACTCACTCACTATCCCCTCTGCTAGCTTTGAGGATGGCCCATTTGTGCCTGCTGTGTTCCCTAAGGCAACAGGGAGCCCCTTGGAAAGCTGATACCATTTCCTCTCCCCACACAGCCTGTCTCTTTTTAATGCAAGAGACAGCGATGCTACTAGACAGGCTGTTTCCTTACAAAGTAAGCGGTTATGAACTTTTTCAGATATACAATAGCTTAATCTTATTATTAAACATTATAAACACTGTAATTAAATGTCAAATTGCATTATTGCAACTGGGGGAAAATAGCAAATGTTTGAGCTCAGACAAACATAGTTGTGCTGTGGGGTGATTAGGTAAAAATCAGTGGAGAAAATAGCAGCTGTTAGTCATTCCTGCATCTAGCATATATTTAAATTCTTGGATTCTGGACACGTTACACCTGATTTTCCAGCATAACTGAACAAAGCAAATGCAAATAAGTTAATTTCTTTGTTCTGTGTGTGGAAAATATTTACATGACAATCAAGCTGAGCCCTGAACATAGAAACTGAACAGGCTTAGATGATGGCGTGATTACATTTTTGTAACTTTTATCATCTCTAAAATTTAATGTAGAGCAGAACTATTTAACATCGGCTGACATGCAGTGCCTGTAGAGACTAAAATCGTACATTTTGGATTGCAGTGTAATGCAATAAAACAAGAAAGGAAGACTCATGAAGTTAGCAATCTTAAGCAATAACATTTGTATTACAGAATACAAATGCTTGCATTATGTAACACCAGCTAACATAAACTGGTCATACCAAACCAAATATGGCTGCAACAGCACACCCTCTGAATATATTAAAGTTTGTAAATGTATAATTTAATGTTTGTCGTTTAAATCCACCTTTTAAGCTCTAAAATATAAAAGAGATACCAATTAGGCTGAATCATGACCTAGTATAGGACCTTTTTACACATTTATTGAATTTATTGAATTTTGGAAAGCCTTGATGTTTTGAGCCAAACGCCAACTAAATGTGCCGTGGCCACTTGTAAAGGTTGATACGCCAATTAACTTGAGTCATGACCCAATACAGAACCTCTTTCTCAAATTTATTAAATTGTGCATAATGCACCAGAAACACAACCATAAATGCTGATGACGATGTCAGCCGCTTACGGTTACGTCATTGGCACTGCAAAGATTCATTGCAATCTAAAGTCTAAATCAGTGGTTCTTAACCTTGTTGGAGGTACCGAACCCCACCAGCTTCATATGCGCATTCACTGAACCCCTCTTTACTGAAAATAAAATGTGATTTTTTTACTGGTGCACAAAATGAGCCATGGCGGAGGCTCTGCCGAACCCCTGAGACCGACTCACCGAACCCCTAGGGTTCGATCGAACCCAGGTTAAGAACCACTGGTCTAAATCAAGCGTATGTCTGCCGTGGTCACGCACAAATGAGGAGAAGTGGCCTCAGATTGATGTTTCAGCAAAATCAAAATTTGTAGGTTTGTTTCATTGCTGCTTCCATTTTTTTTATGTAAATGAGTACAGACGGTGTAGAAAAGTCACTAGTTCCCTTGAGGATTGATTTTATTGATACTCACTCTCGATCGATGACTAGACAGGTGACTGCGCCCGCAGCAATGACACTGGCTGTCCTGATGTCCTCCCTGGAGAAAATGAACACGCAACACAATCAGGCACAACTTCAAAACTAAAACTTTGATCAAATCCTAAAAAAGGTGTGTTGCCGTTATAAAATAATATTTTCATTCATTTTAAAGACCATATCATGGAGGTGATTGAAATCTGTCATATCACTTCATATGCAAACTTGACACATAATAAAAATACATTAAATTCACTGTCAGGAAACATATCACTGCAGAATTTGCATTACTCTTTATCATATTTGACATCAAGCTCATCTTCCTCTGATGACAGTCCTTCTTCGGACGAGTCACCCCAGTCGCACGAATCCTCTGAGTCCGTATCCCAAGACTCCATCCTTTACTGTGAAAATTCTTTTCCACACAGAGCCCCACAGGGATTAGCTCTAAATCTGAACCAGTGCACTGCCCAGGGCACCCCCCTAACAAAGGACACCTGTGTAGTAATTCTGTAAAAGTTTCCAATTTGAGGATAGTGTTATCCACTTCAGTACAAACTAAAAAATGTAAACCAGATGAAAAATTCTTCGGGTGGTTTCCCATAAGCAGATTAGTTCAAACTGTATCCATAAGTAAAAAAAGTAATAAAATAAAATAGAAAGAAGATTTGAAGATTTGGTTATAAGATTGTTATAATATCCCAGAAGGGAGCAAATCAAAAGCCAAAAACTGTCTACTTTCTAGATTTAAAAAGAGTCGATTCATTTTAGCTGGGGCACTAACAGAAGCTAGCCTGGGACAAACACTGTCTGTGCCTGGTCTGAACTCAAAGACATATGGCAACCTATTTCAATGAAGTGAGGTGACAATTCCTCCTCGTGCCATGTGAACTCCCACTGCTGCCTTCCCTCGTCCAAACACACACATCCACAACCCCCCCTCGCCCAACACACATGCTCACGCACATGTTCACACACACTCTGCCTCGCTCATGCTGCTGACCCGTCTGAATAAAGGTCACAGCTGGTGGAAGAACAAAAAAACACTGAAAGGTGAGGACTACAGAGGAGAAGGGAGGCTAGGGATATATTAACAGACGAGAACTGAGGCTCTCAAGCTAGCTGTGTTACAGAATTTCATTCACCTCTGTTAAGCTGCAAGGACCTCCATCCATGCTCTTAATGCAATACCCTGGCCAACACTTCTCCACCTGTTCTCCTGCTTGCCCCCAACACTTTTCAAAACAATTGACATAGACATACTTGCAGTATTAGCAAGCAGTTTAATGGGTAAAAGAAGAGTGGTCTGTAACTCAAACTGCCAATGATTTGAAAACCTTGAAAGTATAATTATTTTCTTCTTCTTCTTCTTCTGTCTGCTCCCTTTAAGGGGTCACCACAGTGGATCATCTGCCACCTCCCCCTATCCCTAGCATCCTCTTCTATCACACCAACCCTCTGCATGTCCTCCTTCATCACATCCATGTATTTCCTGTTTTCTTCCTGCTTGGCACCTCCATATTCAACGAACTTTGTCCATTATATCCAACTTTGTCTTTAAAACATTTGATCTTTCTGTCATAGTGCTACAAAGATTGATGCTAATATTAAACATGACCAAAGTTTCAAATAATGAGGTCAGCGTCTGTGCAAGTAGTCCCTGTGAGCAAGCTCCAGCTTCAAACTTGTCTAAACACAGTTTCTGAACATGTATCCTTAGTATGGCTTTCTCAGTGCTCTCTGCTCTACCTTAGAACACAAAAGCCCCACCCACCTAGTGTTCAAACCTTCTGTTTGAGAAGACGAGCCAATCACAAGTAGTTTAACAAGAGCATGAGCAAAAATGAAGAGAAACCTGAGTGGATGAAGTCAAGGTAAGATAAATGAGGTCAACTCATTAGAATTACACACAATTCAGCAGTTATAACGAGCAACTGTACACAATGTTTTACAAAGGCTTGTCTCATAAAAGGAAGTGTACAATGTATGCGTCATTCACTAACCATGGTGATACAACGAAACAACATAACGCCATGGGCTATATTAAAAAAAAGTGTTTATGTAAGCATGAATCATCCTTCAGAGACCTCAAGGGTTTCATATTAGACGAAGCATTTTACACCTGTCCCCTGCTGCTCGACTATAGCTGAGGAAAACAACTTTGTGCGCCATGGTAGTGATACTGGCAATGTTCTATTTGAAACACAATCCCTAAACAATATCTGTCAGTGTGATTCACACTGCTGAGCCTAAGCTGAGCCTAAGCCAAAGATGGCTCAGTACTTGTTAATTGTGGCACAAGAAGAAATGCACTGGAAAGCAGCCACACACACACATTTCCACAAGTAGTGTCACACTAAAAGCAGCTGCATGCTGTGTCTGGAATGTCCTTTGGACTTACACAGGAGCCTGTGGTGTTGATTTCCAGTAGACAGTTGAAATGAACATGGTAATTGGACAGTGATCTGGTGTCCTGGGAAAGGGGTTATGAAAATAATTTATGGTTGGAGGCATAGAGTGGGGCAGTAGCTATGGGCAGGGTGGGGGAGAATAAAAGCCAGGTTAAGACTGGGTCAAGAATTAGAGGTGACTGTGGAGGATGCAGGCACTGGTTTGTGCTTAACCCTGCAACACCAAATGTTCCAAGTAAGACCTCTACAACATCAGTGTGTGTGTGTGTTTCTTTTAGTGAAAAACCTGAATAAATGTTTAAACAATAAATTGCACAAAAATACACGTAGTAAAAATTACTTAAATTAAAAGTCATACATACAAAGTAAAATTTAATGCCTTCTCTAAAAGAAAAAAAAAACACTGTCAGAATGTTCAATAAACACTCCAGATTCATAAAATGAGAATTTTGTGACAATTATTTAATGGTTCAGGTTTTAATTTCTGTGGCTGAGGTATTTTTTGAGATATATTTATATATATCTATTTTAATTCAATTCAATTTTATTTTATTTATACAGTGCCAAATCAGTCGCCTCAAGGCGCTTTATATTGTGCAGTAGATCCTACAATAATAGATACAGAGAAAAACCCAGCAATCATATGACCCCCTATGAGCAAGCACTTTGGCGACATATTTTAAACTATATATATATATAATGTATGTATGTATATGTGTGTGTATTAAAGTTAAAAAATAGATTTTATTCAAATAATAAAGAGTCTCACTGAGATTAAAGTAGCAACTTCTTTTGCAGAGGAGTCAGGCAGAACAAGTGGCAGGCCAAATACAGCATCTATTTATCCACATACCTCTAATCTGGGGAGAGCAATCTAAGCAGAGATACCTAGACCTCCCTCTCCCCTGCCACCACCTCCAGTTTTTCAGGGGTGTTCCCTGGTGGGTGTGGTCCTGGGGCTTTGACATGCATGAAATACATCACCTTGGAGGCATCCAGGAGTCATCCCAGCCAGGTGCCTAAACCACTTCAGTTGGTTCTTTTGATGTGAAAAGTGTCTCTACCCGAAAGATCAAGCTTGTCACCCTGGAGCAAGTTCCAAAGGGTGTCTGCCAATTATATTGTTAAATCTTATTCTTTTGGTCACCTCCTGCAGTCCATAGCCATAAGTGAGGGGAGGAACGTGGATTGATAAATAAATTGTCAGCCGTTCCTTTGCGCTCAGCTCCCTCTTTACCACAACAGCTGTCTGTACCGATTTAAATTAAAAAGAGACACAAAATCACACAAATACCTGTATCAGTGGTCAAATAGAACATTGTGAATAAATCGAAACATATACATATGAATGTGTCTGCTTCCAAATCAACAACAAATACTGGGCAGAACAAATGCCTGGTTGTATGCCGGGTGTCTCTTTTGATGACTTAAAAATGCTAAATTTAACCTGGATTAAGAAAAAGTTGTAAGTCACTTGCATCTTAAAACATAGTGTGTGTGAAACTCCAAAAGCAATTTTCATTATTCAACACTAAATGAGTCCCACAGTATCTGTGCAGCTACAGTACTTCCCATTAAGTACAAATTGCATAACAAAGACTATACCTACTTTCAATGCATGCCACAACTTTTACATTCATGAATATATTTTCCTAGTATTCCAGGACGCTGCTCCTCAGCTATTGAAATCAAAATATTTCTCTGAAACACTTCCTTATTGGTGCATGAATTGTCTCCTTTGAAGTTATATTTCAGTCATGGGCTACAGTATTCTGTTATTAAAAAAAAAAAAAACACGGACCACACACCCCATGTTTGATTATTTTAACAAAGATAATGTGGGAAGTCTCAGATGTCTGAGCTTGCCATAAACACACTCAGAGCTTGTGTTTCTCATACAGAGCATTTATTTTTGAGGCCTGTGCAAAAATAAACCTTTTGTGGTTGGCCTTCTATTTATTATTTCACACTGTCAAATCTCTGCTTGGACACACAGTTTGCCAGACTGGCACATTCTTAAATATTTAGTCATTTCGTTGTCAGTGCAGTGCAGTGCAGGGCTCCAGCAGCAACTGAGTGCTTCCTTACCTACACCCAGAACAAAATCTGTGGCCTGTGGGGAAAAACAAAAGAAGCAGTACTCTTTTTTTTTTTTCTTCATATCTGCACTGCTACACAACAAAGGGATTTTCCCCCCTAAAATAATGATTTAGAAATAAAAGCAACATGGGATTTGCTTTGATAAAGTGCTTCTGAAGCAGCAGCTATAAAAAAAGTATATAGTATAGTTACCAAAATGTGAAAAATTTGAGAGAATGTAGACAAAGCAACGTAAAATATTCAGAATTGTAGTTAATACTAAATGAATGATAGAAGCTAAAGCGGTGACTCAGGGGAAATCTATTAATAGAATGAGGCTTGGAGTGAAGGGAAAGTGATGATTTTGTGCAATAGTGGCAACATATCCACACTATTACAAACTCTCACAATGAATTATCAGAGCACTATTGTTGGTCTGAAGGTGTTCTGACACCGATACCAATCAAACTTCTCCCAGTTACATCAGACTTCTTTTTTTAAATAGCACCTTCAGCTGGAACATTCCCACAAACATACCCACACAAAATACACTCAGGAGTTGGAGGTCAGGTCACACATTGTCTATGCAGGTGATGGTCCAACTCCTCCAATGAAAGTTAACACATCACAGTGACATGAGGAATGTGATATCAGATATGTTCTCCTTAAGTACAAACAACATATCACCCTCGAAGTGCGTCTCTTCCCGGAACATCCCTCACTGCGAAGAGGTACATATATATTGTAGTCATTCAGGGCCTATAGATGTGCAAGCCCCTTAGAGAATAATTTGATATTTCTTCTACTGCCTTAACGTATACACATCTCACGCCAGCACTCACACAAGCTCTCGCAAACCATTATAGCTGGCAGGGGAACTGACTTTGATTTGTAAATATGTTGTTCTCACAGATCAAAGGCAACGTCTTCAGATGGACAGAGTAGCCTTTGAGTATAGGCTATTGAGTTTCATGAGCAAGGACATGCACAGTTAACTCCTAATTAGAAAGATTAGAAAGCCCAGCAGAAGAGCCCTCTGATCAAAAGCCTAGTTCCAAGATGGCCAGCATCTCCATCATTTCAATTCGCGAGACACCCTTGACCATCAAAGGTATAGTCAAATAAGCTTCTCCAGCTCAAGACACTCTAAGACAAAAGGTGTTTATAACAAGAGACAGTGAGCCGGAGATAGCAGTTTGTTGAACAAAAGTGTTTCTCTTGATTAAACAAAGCACAAGATGCTCTTAAGCATGCTTTGAAGAGCTTTCAAAACTGCACAACATTTCAAAGTATATTGTGATAACCACTGACTATTTATCCTGCTGTATAGTCCATGTGCAAAACCCTCACTCCCAACAAATGAGTGATATGAGTAATGAATCATGGATAATATTAATGCTAAGCATATGCTGCACTTCAATTAAATCCTGTTAAATTAATTTAAAGTTACATCAACAGTCACCTCAAGGTGCTTTATATTGTAAAGTAAAGACCCTATAATAATAGAGAGAAAACCCCAACAATCAGACAGCTCCCTATGAGCAAGCACTTGGTGACAGTGGTGTCACGGCCAGCGGGGGCAGACCGTGTGGAGAGTGTGTGTGGTGGACCCAGGCGCGAACACAGGCGAGGAGACGGGAGTGAACTTAAACTGAAAGCGAGCCTTTATTTGGGCTGATGCAGAATGGAGTAGACAAAACAAAACATAACGGGGACAGACTGCAACTAACCAAAAACCTAAACTGGAAAAACACTAACCTGACTGAAAGGAAAAACTATGACCACCGTGAACAGAATGCTGCGCAGATGCATGGAAACTGTGAACCAAATGGCGTGACGAAAACAGACATGAACATGACCTGCACGGAACCTCATCATGCGGCTGCATGAAAAACAACATAAACCAAATGGCAAACATGAACTGCACAGACTCCTGAAAAAAACCTAACTTGACCAGAGGGGAGGTACACAGACGACGCAACAACGAGCAAAGCAAGGCTGAGGACTTAAATACACACATGAGGTGATCAGGGGAAGTGGAGACACATGAGAACACAGCTGACTCGAATGAAACATAATGACAATCCAGGGGAGAGTAACACTAACTACAATGAACAAAGAACACCAGACTCTTACAAAATAAAACAGGAAACACGGAGACATAGACATGGAGATAAAACATGACATGAACTTAACATAACCACATAGACATGAAACATAGATGCAGGAACCACGGAGACTGAGTACAGGCAGAGATGACAGAAATAACTAAGAAATAAGGTCTGAACAGCAACCTAGAATTTAACTAGACTGAAAATGAATACAAAAAAATAAATAAAACTCAAACACTGGGTCACACGACCCAGTACCGTGACAAGTGGGAAGGAAAAACTTCCTTTTAAAAGGAAAAACTCTCCAACAGAACCAGGATCAGGCAAGCAAAGCCATTGACTGCGACTGTTTGGGGTTGAGGCGAGGAGACGGGACAAAAGACACACTGTGCCAGAGACCCAGAGATTAATAATAACTAATTATTAAATGGTGAAAATCATCAGGGTGATTAAACTTTTTTTTTCCATTACATAATTTTAGCAGCACTTAAACGAAGTCGCCGAATTCCTCAAAATCAGAATAGCTGCTACATTCATGATGCGTTAGAGCTTTGTGTTTGATTCTTACTCAACAAACAGCACTTTTAGCTTTAATGCATGTGCGTAAAACATTAAAAAATGTCTACTTCAAAACAACAACAGACGTGTCCCTCCCCTAAGAAATCAAGCTTTCCATGCCTAACATGTCCCACATGCATTTTAATGCTCTGTCATCTTTTATCTTTTAGTCATTAGCTTTTACATTTAGGGAAAGCCCAACCATCTGTGCAATTCAAGCTGCTGTCTGAATATCATCCAGCAGCCAGTGTTCTCAAAGTGCAGCCTGGAGGCCAATGACAACCCTTGTTAACTTGTTATATGTCTAAAAGAAAAGACTTTTCATTTAAATTTAACTTTACATTAATTTATTCACAGGTCATGTGATACTTTGATAAAGCACGGGATCAAGGCATCTTCAATTTTAACTCCTCTGTTCTAGCCACGATAGAAACAAATGACAAATGTGTGCAGTCAGGAAAACATAACAGTCTCTTCATGGTTTTGAGCCCCCCCTTATCTTTATATGTTGGCACACCATCAAAACTCATCAAAACCTGATTGAAATTATTTCTTTTAATAATAAACATTATATTTATTGTTTTGACATAAACGGAAATCTCTTTTCCACAGCACGCTGCTTTGATTCGGTCTGTGTTTTCAAGTGCCGATGAGTCTGAGCGCTGATTTTTATGTGGCTTTCACATTCAGCAGCCACAAGATGGCGACATCTTCATTATTTTTCTAACACTGCTGTCTAAGTATGGACACACTCAAATGTGCATGCATGAATGCATATCTTCTCTGTTTCTACCTGACCCTCATAGACATAATACACTTCAGACTATTTTCCATCTCTTCACTCCCTGATGTTAAATAATCCATTGTCCATGGAGAGGTGCAATCCTGACAAGGAAGAGCAAACAGCAGGGTAAAAATATCACTTCAGCACAACGGTCTTGACGCCAGGTTTATAAAATACTGTTATAACATCTAAGTGTCTACAGTGAAAGTATTTGAGCACTTTGAGCAAACCAAATGTTAGAAACAGACATGAATCATTTTTAAATATAGTTACTTAAAACTGACCTGTGGGACATCTTCACAGCTAGAATCCACACTGCTGGTTCAGACTTACAACGTACAAAGTGGTATAATGTTAGAAGTGTGTAATCTCGTTTTATATCTGTTTGTTCCAAGTCGACATATACTGTGTGAATTACAGCTGCTAATAGCAAATGTTCACGAAAGAGTGCAGAAATTCATTAATACAGCCAAGGACATCATGGAGATATCCTTGATAACAGAATGGAGAGGAAAAAAAGCTAGATAATACTGTTCCAATTAAATGAGACTTGAACTGGTAGTGCGCACTTTGTGACAAACACCACTCTACTCCCAATAAATGACTTTTCCCTGTTGTTTTTCTGAGTGACATCAGTGTGTGCAAAATAGCACAGACGGGCTGTCATTCGGTGTTGTTGTGAGGGATCTCCGCTGTCACTTAAACATACCCCCTTCTCGATTTAGGCAAAAATAGAACTTGAGAAACATGAATGTGCCACAGTCACTGCATGTGCGCTTATTTATACGGTCTTCAAAAAAGGGGCTGGAGGTGAAATAGCTGCATCTGCAGATAGTTGTTGCTGTTTACGCAGATGGGAAAATTATTACATAACGAAACAAATTAGAATGCTCACAGTAGCAACTGTGGATCAAAACGCGCCTTAATATAAACTGAAATGCATAAAAAAAGACATGTGGATTTAAACTCTTTCTCATATCATATTTAACAAGCTTCCTTCGGTCCAGAGAAATAATTCTTCTTTCATGCGTGGAAAATTTGCCCTAGAGTAAATCAATTATCATAATATGGCCTAGCTTTAAGCAATTCCAAACATTTGCCAAGTTATCAAGGCTGTTCAAAAGAGTGAGTTGCGGAAAGAAAGGAGATTGATAGGAGTTAGAGGCTAAGTGCCAAGTTAACACTAAGACAAAAGATATAAAAGACAGGTTGGGAGTGAAAATTAGAAGGAAAGCAGTGAAAGAATGGAAGACGGGAGATATAAATTGGAAGCGGCAGAATTATTAGGAACACTCTTACCCTTGCAGTGCTTTCTCTCCAAACCAGTCTCCTTTTCCGAGGCTGCGGAGGTAGACAGGCTCTCCGTTGGGCAAATCTTCTCTGGTTACATTAACCTAGCAAAACAGAAAGGAAAGTTAAGGAGAAGAATAGTGATAATGTATGTCATGTAGATGTGTAGCAAGAAAAAAAGATGGATAACATTTTAATTTAAAGACAAGTCAGGGAATCATGTCTTAAAATGTCAGGTTCATCACATTGCTACAAACAAAAAGGAAGTACTGCTGTAACGCAAGTCTGTTTCAAACAGGTAACTGTCATCACCATGAAGAATCTGGGAAGCGCCACGAGCAAGAAGAAACATGAGTGATGGGGCTCTGCTGGGCCGGAAAACTTTACAAATCAAAGTGATGGCAGCTGAGTAGATTTTAGAGGAAGGGAATGAAGCCGATTGTTTCGTCAATTGAAGGATCTTGTCTTCATCCATTAGTCAGCACAGATGTAGCAGCAAATCCTGCACCGGCGCACTGTCTACACCTGAGTGACAGCGTAATTATTCACGTGGGAGCAGGCACAAAACAAAGAAAGGAAGTACAGGAGGTACAAAGTGTGATTGTGTGCGCGCTGGGTGACGTCCAATCTGGATGAAAGTCCTATAGGTAAAGTAGACTACACAGAGCCAAAGTGAGCGATGTGGAAATAACTAAGCAGAAAGCATTGACAAGGTCAGGTGTGTATGTATGTATGTGAGTTCATTCCTGCACCCACACATCCATGACCGTACTGTTGTGCAACGTGACTTTACTGACCTTGTGAAATTTACAGCTTTTGTTTACTGCCAAAGTAAGGTACAAAAAAAAGGACAAAAAAAAGGACACAAAACAGGACAGAACAAAAGCACTCACATCTCACATATGTGAACTACTGGAAAATACTAGGATTATAAAGCACTAAAATATTACTAACACATTCTTATTACAGCATTACCCAATTTATAAATGATACAAATGATGTATAGGTGAGATTACAAACCATGTACCATCTACATTTTGTGGATGTAAGGGACCAGACGAAGGAAACATAATTGGATAAAACAAATTCTACCAAATTATTAATCGTACCAAAAAACAAGGTGATAGTAGGGGTTAGAGGACACGAACTGTTGGACGAGCATTATAAAACCCTGTCAGGTGTCACTGATTGATCAATTTGTGGTCATACCTGCTGAAAACAAACAGCATGCGAGCTTGTGGATGTAACAGACAGGAAACAAGCTGTGAAGGAAGCACAGGAAATGAATGGAGAAGATGAAGATAACAAGCAGAGAGAAAATGAGGAGGGAGACTTGCAGCCATCCTGGCATCAAAACATGTTCACGAAAAGTATGTGAAAGCACTCCAACAGTGTTGAAGCCAGACAGGACAGTGCTCAGTGTGAAACTCAGTGCTGATTACTGAAAAGTGGAGTCAAATGACTCCATTCTCCTTCCAAGATACCCCCGTCGCTGCTGAAAGAGATGATGAAAGAGGCAGCGCTTCTTTCTGACTTCTCCTTTAACCTATGGTGATTGATGACAGCCAACTTCCACCCAAAAATTCCACCCCATTCTATCAAAAAATAGGGGTCTTTTATTCTCCATGTACCACGATGCCCTGGATTGTGATGTCAGCTGATGATTGTTTTGGTGGTAGTCTGGACCACACTGTCCTTACCTTTCCTTTACTGATGATGAAGAAGGTGTCTCCTCTGGCCCCCTGTCTGATGATGTACTCTCCGTCTTCATAATGTGTCTGTCAGAAGAGAAGAGAAGAGAAGAGAAGAGAAGAGAAGAGAAGAGAAGAGAAGAGAAGAGAAGAGAAGAGAAGAGAAGAGAAGAGAAGAGAA